CAAACTTGATCGTATTGTGACGATGTCTGTTTAAGTTCTTAAGTGACTAAATACATTGAAAAAACACATAATATGTGATATCCCACTTTACCCCCCCCCCCCCCCCCCCCCCCCCTCACCCCTTTTTTTTTAAACTGGATATAATAGTGAAAATGTTTACCCTTTAATAAAAAATAATAACTTTATTCATATTTAATGCCTTTTTCTCACCTAAATAAAATCAATACAAATAATAAAACCGCAAAATAATCTAAATTTAATAAAACAGTTGTTTGTAAACCCGATAGAGTTTACTTCTGTGTTGATAAATGTAATATGACTTCTATTGTTGAAACCTTCAGATGCCTCCAGCCTTAAAGATCTATGTAAACAAAATGTTATAACCATGCAAAAACATGCAGTTCACTGACGTATACTTGGGTTTTTGTTTCAAATTTATGATAACAAATACCTAAGTATGAACAACTATTCAATACTATTGAATGATATTGAAATATAAAAGTAAACATTATTATCAAAACTTTTAATGATGAAAAACACCTGCTTTACTTTAAAAAATTTGAAGCAATTATTAATATTGTAATCCCTTACGGCCTCTTTTGACGATAATTGACATTGAGAATGAAATTATCGTTATTTAAATTGGGGTGCGTTTGACTCTGACTAGAAATTCCTAAAACATTAAAGACTTTTTGAAATTTGAATTTGCAAATACATATACGAATGTAGCTATATCGCTGTTATTATTATTTTTGTTTTATTCTGTACTGCACCATGTAATGTATTTGATGTATTTTGTTGTATTGATGTCACTCGTAGTATTTATTTTCGTTTTGCGTGGCTCTATGCATAAATTTTGAGTTTATAGATGTTTCCTTCTTTTACTTATTTAATTTTTTTTTATGTTTTTTTGAGAACTAATTAATTCTTCTCAATCACCCAATAGTCCTTAAATGCAATTAGGTAAGAAGTTTGCAAAGTTCTATAATCATATGATTTTACACGTAACATATCAGTATAATAATGCTTTTAAAAAAGTTCCAAGTCTTCAAGTAGTAAATCATTTCCCATTTTAAATACAAATGCTTTCTCTCATATTTCAAACATTGTTTCTTTTGTTTTGTATACTTTTCTTTTGTTTGTCTTTTTTGAACTTTTCCTCAGTTATAGGATGATGATGATATATATGATGATGTGTGTGGTTGTTGTGATTTATATATTTCGTTTTGCTGCCTTATGTGTATTATGATTTCTATGATAAAACCCAATGGGTAATTGTAAAGAACAATATGGGGCAGCCATCGGGTTATATAACTTATGTAAATGCACTTTTAGACTCAGCAGTTTTAACTCACGAACTAGTGATAGCTCTTTAAATGAAATATTACTTACCAATTTCAGATGCTCGTTACTCGTCGTCTGTCTCTCACTTCTCCAGAGCTTAATTCCGAATATAGATATTGTTTTCCTGCTATTTGTTTTAAATGCCATCCTAATTATTGGAAATATTGAGACTAATCCAGGTCCGAATACAGATATTATAACTGATTCTACTAGTATCAATGAAACCTCACTATCCATATGTAACATAAACATACGTAGTCTTAATTTTCTCCAAAATTTTACTTATGAATTTGATATAGTAACTATAACTGAAACTCATTTGGATTCAAGTGTTAACATTGACAATTTCAGCTTTCCTCATTTTCAAAGAATATAATCCGAAAGGATCGTAACAGTGCCGGCGGAGACATTGTCATCTATGTAAAGGATGATATATCCATCGTACGTAAAGGTGAACTCGAAAACCACATTGATGAGACAATATGGGTAGAGGTTAAAGGTAAAAGTCAGTCATTTCTTCTTTGTTGTACTTATAGGCCTGAGTAGACGGACACTGACTATTGGACAAGACTTATTTATTCACTGGGATTGAGTTACCAACTAAGTGAGAATATTGTGATAACAGGAGATTTGAACTCTGATTTATTTTCAATTCATAATAATAAATTATATGATACAATGAATCTTTTTAATTTAGAAAATGTAATAAATAAACCGACAAGGGTGACTGGACACAGTAGCACATTGCAAGACCCGATAATATTCAGCGACACTATATACATAACACATAGCTGAGAGGGTGATAGAGCAGATTGTTACCCCGAAAAAACATTGTCAACTGAGGCGAAGCCAAGGTTGACAATGTCTTTTCGAGGGGTAATAATCTGCTCTATCACCCTCTCAGATATGTGTTATTTGATTTATTAATGACAGACCATGGTTTGACAAAAAGCTAAGGAAAGAAATCCGTAGAAGAGACCGATTTGTAAAAAACCTTAAAAACTAAAAAAGATTCTGACATTAATAAATACAAAAAGCAGAGGAATAAAGTAAATAATTTGAAAAAAAGCTGCAAAAGAAAATTTTGAAAGAAGCTTGGAAAATATCATCTTAAATGGTTTGTTCCTGCTATTCCTACATTTTAAAATTTGGTATGTCATTTGTAAGAAATCCATGTAGGAATAGGAGGAATACTTGAATAAACAAGCGATTAAATCAGATAAGGTTGTAAAAACATAAGGCTAATTAACTTCGGGTAAATATCCATATAACTGCTGGAGTTTTCATCAATGCCCAGTTTGAAAATATTATGAAAGTGTTGATAAAAAAAAAGTACAAACACTTGCATGTTATTGGTTCATTTTAATTGTCCTTTATCTTTATTCTGTTTTATTTATTGTTTCTATCGTTTTTCAAAACTGTTGTGTGTTTTTCCTAATGTAATGAAAAGTCTTTGTCATTGAGTGAATCCATCAAAATTAAGTCAAAACAAATTTGTACAAATATGTTACGGCTTCAGAATATCAGAATTTATTGCCGAGGGTATCGTCAGCTCCGTAGTCAGTATTTCAGTACTGACATGATTTATAACCAACCTTTCTAAAATTTTCCGTTTATAAATTTTTAAATTATAAAGAAACTAAACGGTTTCAACTCCCTTAGACAAAGCTTACCTTAGATGGATTTGGCTATTTTTTTAGGTATTTTTTGTCATAAAGCTCTTCAACTGTTTCGGTACTTATACATCATCGGCTTTCAAATATTCGGCTTTGAGCGTTCCTGATGGAGGTAAATCCAGAAAAGCGCTTCGGACGCATGAAATTATTTAACGTGTTGTTTTCATTTTATTTTACACAATCAGTCTTTTATAAAGTCATTGTAATCTGGGACTAATATATGCATTAATGCTATTTATGGGTTCTAGCATCATGCATCATCTGGATACTGTGATATATCTTATTTTGAGTGTTATGAAAGAGGGACGAAAGATACCAGAGGGACAGTCAAACTCATAGATCGAAAACAAACTGACAACGCCATGGCCAAAAATAAAAAGACAAACAGACAAATAATAATACAGATGACACAACATAGAAAACCAAAGACTAAGCAACACGAACATCACCAAAAACTGGGGGTGATCTCAGGTGCTCCGGAAGGGTAAGCAGATTCTGCTCCACATGTGGCAGTGTAGTTTAAATTTGGCATTGCACATTCAACATTTACTTTTGTAGCATTAATCTTAGCATAAAGGCTATCTATTAAGATTACGGTTTGAATTCTAAACTTATAATTCAATTTGATTTTTTATTGCTGTATTAAGCCTTTTCTTTCTCATTATTTTTCATATTTGAAAAACTCGGAATTCCCTTTTATATAAATTGAAAGTACATTTCTATATTTAATTTTCTATTTTATTCTCTGCAATGCATCCATTTTTATCTCTATAATCATAATTCTTCATAAATACGCAAAAAGGTGCATTTCTTTTGCACTTATTCACCTGTAAATCAATTAAATCTAAATTGCTAAAACAATAAATTACCTTATAACAACAGCTATTGTACTTTGTTTGTAGGAATAGAGGGAATTTGATTTTGATTTTTGGTGTTTGAACGCCACTATTAAGCACCGCTTTTGGGCTATTTCGTGGCGGCCAGTTTTTATTGGTGGAGGAAGCCAGAGTGCCCGGAGAAAACCACCGACCTTCGATAGGAAAACTGACAATCCTAGTCAATTAAGATTGGAGTCGAGTGAACCCGCACTAGCGGGGTTCGAACTCACAACCTCAGTGTTGACTGGCTAGTGATTACAGTAGTAACTACTTAGACCACTCGGCCATCGAGGCCCCGGAATAGAAGGAAAATGTATTTTTAAAATGTAGGAATAACAGGAAGACACCTCTTAAACAGAGACGTATATATGTCTCTGTCTTAAATAACGTGGCTAACCCCAACACTTTTGGAAGATAATGAAAATGCTTAGTGATAATTGGATCATTGTCCAAATAAACATTTCTTTTTAATCTTTTAATTGGATTAGCATTTAATCTTGGTACATGACCTAAACATTGACGGTCCAGTTACAAATTTGACTTTAAACTTTACAAATGAAATTTATAAGCATACATCAAATAATTTGATAAAATATTAAATGTTTGATTTAACAAAATCTAGATTTGAAGGAAATTCTTTGGAAAAGAAAGTAAATGGAGTTTGAAAAAATATATTAGTGGAATTTCAGGTTCATTCAAGTTTTTAATTCTTCGTTCAGGTCCGAGTTTTGGCATTAAAAACATATTTTTCATTTTTCAATTTTTAATTTTAACAAAATATTAATTTTCTTATTTTAAAAAATCTAAAGACGAAGGAAATCCATTGAATGTTTAAAAAGTTATTGAAGTTTGAATAAGTCCGACCAAAGATTTTTAGATCCGTTCAGGTCTTTTCATTTCTCCGTTCAGGTCCAGGTTTTGGCATCAACAATTTGTTTTTTATTTAAAACATTTATTTCTAATAAAATATGGACCTTTACCTTTAATGAAATTCTAACATAAAGTAAATCCTTTGGAAAATAAAGAAGTTATTGTAATTTAAATAAATCAAGTCGTATATCTTCAGGTCTATTCAGGTCTTTTCAGGTCTTTAGTGTAACCTAAAAGAGAAACCGAAAGTGAAACAGTTTTTCCCACGGATTTATATTTATAAATCTTTTTTTCCCAAAGTTGACTGGTAATTTGATTTATTAGGTATGTTATATTCATTTATGGCATAATTACCTCATTATAATCAATTAATACATGTTTGATATTATTATCTTAATCGCATAATGATACAAAGCGTCACTCACGGTGTCTTCAAAAAAGAGAAACAGTGAACATGGTGAAAAGGAAAATTATTTTTTTGGTATTTTTACTTCGTCATTTTATGAATGATTCATTTAGGAGACTTTATATATTATAAAGCTTGGAAGGATTATAGCTTTATTGTACTGTTTAACAGTTTAAGGACTATTACGGTAAGTCCACAGGACTTTGAAATCTTAGCAATAACGGTGTATAGTGTATAAATATGTAAAACTCAACTATCACAGTACTAGTCAGTAGAGCTTCTCTCGAAGAAATCTTAGCAATAACGGTGTATAGATATGTAAAACTCTTCTATCACAGTAGAGCTTCTCTCAAAGAGAGAAGTGACTGTGATAGTCGAGTTTTACATATTTATACACCGTTATTGCTAAGATTTCAAAGTCCTGTGGTAAGCCCTTCCCTAAAACTTATATATACCAGAAAAGATAATCTATACCACATCTCAAAATGATTTATATTCTCTAGATACAATAACATAACCTAACCATTCACTAAATTAATTCAAGAGATTGATGTCAAAGTGTCTAGTTTGTTTTCCTCTCTGACACAGTGACAGTAAAATACATGTCAAGGAGGATGGCATTTATTTGGGTATTGTCGATGATTGCAAAAGTTCGTTATGCTTGCAAGATCGTGACATATGAGGATTTCCACTTTATTCATGACGTCATGCAAAAGTATTTATCATCGGCAACGTGCTACATCAAAAATACTTAACCGAATATTTTTTATTGCATTTTCATTAATATTGGTTTGAAAAAAAGAGGTTGTGTTCTATCATCTTATTTGATTAAACATCTATTTCCACTAATACTGTTTTATTCCTCTCCTAGAATTTCGTTGAATTCTCATGATGATGATTCTTGGGAAAATTCTTTCAGCAATGTTATTAACATCTCAACAATGAGTCATCATCTATTTTTAGGTTATGTGGCCTCTTATTCCTTTTTTGAAGGCCAAGAGTATTATTTTTTATGGTCTGCATGTGAGCGGATTTTTTAAGATCAGAAAATGATTTGATATATTTTGATAAAACAAAACCTGCTGAATATTGGCTCTTAAAAGTAATTTAATCCTATGCCATTGAATGCAAATTGAATGAAAAAATACTTTGATGCATTAATGACATTATGACATTGTTATAGTTATTTTAAATGTGTTTAAAGTGTTTAATTCTGGACTTTCCAATTGACCATTGAAAGTCAGGTGTAAAAATTAGAATAGTTTTTGTAGGGAGAATAAAAAGTCAGTATGTCCCAATCTCTCTTTTTTTCTCTCTCGAGATATTCATCATGTTCATTTGTTATTTGATCTCAAATTTATTCTGTAATGTTCAAATACATAATACAATAGGCCTGACCTTTATATTGTTGCACATGTGCAAAAGCCACCATCCAAGACAAAGGTCACCAACTTACAAGCATGTCTACTTATTTTACAGAATCAGGTCACAATACGAGACATAGAAAGATTGACCATGTTTCTGAAGCTATTCATCAATTAAATGTATCAGACTGTTTGCAAATAAGTAAAGAATATTTACATCCACAGTGGATAATATTTGCTACAAGGTTTTGATCTTTTTCTTCCGTTTCGAGTTAGGGCAACGAACTTCCAATCATCGAGGATACAAGTCAAATTGGCACCTGGTCAATTTATTACCTTTAAAAAAAGTCAAATTGTCACCTGGTCAAATCAGCATCTAGTCAAATCAGCACCTATTTAAAGTCATTTCAGCATTTGATAATTCAACTGGCACATAGTATTATTTTCAATTTTGTTTTCTTTTTGAGAATAGTTTTCGTTTTTATATATATACCTAGAAATTAATTTTACATGCACACGTATAAAAATTGCAGTTTTTATCCAACGCAATCATAGGTTTGAAGGTTGTTTTCAATTAAGACTTGTATATATATATATATATTATATAAATATATATATATATACAACTCGTCTAAAAATCAGCCCAACAATGTTAGATCTGTAAATTTGCTTTCGCAAATTTTTAGTTCTTCCCTCGAACTCATGCTACTGAGATATCGTGACACCAAATCGCCTGCACTGTATCCGATGCTCTAGACCAAAGAACTAAAAATTTGCATTTATTATTGCGATTTTGTCATTTTAGAATAAAATGCGATTTTAATTTTTGCAATATTGAGAAAAATCCTGTATAATTCATATAAAAAATTTCAAAATGTGAGTTTAAATTATTGCCATTATAACCCTGTCGCATTTTTCGCAATAATAAAACATCGCAATAATTTCTGAATTTACAGTATTCAAAATTCAAGAGTCTATCCTAAATTGAGGTAAATTGTTGGGCTTTCCAAATACCTTTTCGATTCCTAACATCACTGAAGAGACATTATTTGTCGAAATCCGGATATGGCGTACAAAAACCTTTGCACCTTTTGTTTGCAGTATATCATCTTCTCCGCAAGTTTATTTAGTCTGCTTAGTATTAAATTTAAAATTAAGATCCATTTATTACATCGGTGATCCGTTTATTTGGCAATCGCCAATGGCAGTTAGCAGGGTTTAAGAACATTTGTTGTTCGACCTGTTAGTCAAATGCGTTTTGTTAAAATATACTTTTTCACTTTTTTGGTCTTTTGGAAAATGTTGTTTGTGCTGTATTTAGACCCCTCTAACAAGGAATTTGTTTTGCATGCACACGTATAAAAATTGCGGTTTTTATCCAACGCAATCATAGGTTTGAACGTTGTTTACAATTTAGACTTGTATATACATATATATATATATATATATACATATATATACATATACAAGTCTAAATTGAAAACAACGTTCAAACCTATATATTTTATATATATTTGCAAAACTTACAATTTCAGGAAGAATACACAATAAAAAATAATCAGTTGGCTTTCTGCATGTTCTGTTTGAAGTTTTCTCAATATTCTATTAATAATGTTTTGATCGGTAATCACTTTGAAAATTTATGAACTTATATAAATTACAAACAGTAACCATGGTAACCCGAAATTTGTTGTTTTAACAATTTTTGATCTTTTATATTAAAAAGTAAAGAAAGAAGCCATAACACAAGCTGTTGTTTAATCCACAGATCAGGATAAAAAATAATTCAATCATTGTAAGTTCAATTGTTTTTTTTTCTGCATTTCCTGTCTACTTGTATAAAATGAATAACGTTGGCACCAATCATGTCGCCCTTGTTTACTAGTAATGTGCAGTTGTCATGAAATAGAGGATCCTATAGGAACATATATTATGGCTTCATTGTTTATAACCTATAACAAAGTTTCCATTGGAACTTCTGTTATGCGCAACAAATATAGTTTGACACCTCAAGTGAAAATATTAAAAAGTATCATGAAAAACGGAGTCTTCAATAGAAATGCAATAGTTTACTTGCAAAACATAATGGTAATTGTGGGTGCCTTAATCACTACCTCAGGTGCCAAATTAACCAGGTCCTGATTTATTTAGGTACCAAATTGACTATAACAGGTGCCAATTTGACCAGGTGCCGATTTAACCAGGTGTCAAAGTGACTAGAATTCATTTATTTGGCTATGCAAAATGTAGTATAAAAACGTAGACATGTTCAGACAAAATGTCTAGGGACGTTTAATCGAGCGCCTGGTGAAGAGAGTGACACACTCACTGTACGTTAAAGAACCGTTACAACAACTCTCTGATACATGTACATGTAGGTGCCTACATGTGCTTGTTGCAAGACAAAATTTCCGCCCCATTCGAAGAGACTTACATTTTCCAGTGGCTGTCCAAATTTCTGTCCATGCATTGTACCTTCATTTGTACTTTGCAGAACCTACTTATCATGCTTAATGTCAGTTAGGTGTAATACTTATACAAGCTAGTGTCTTTTATTTACATGTGCTGTACATAAAACTATTTTGGCAAACTCGAAAGGTTACAAGTTTAATAGGCACCTGGTCAATTCAGCACCTATAAAAAAAGTCAAATCGGCACCTGGTCACATTGGCATCCAGTCAAATCGGCACCCATCTTAAGTCATTTCAGCATTTGGTGAGACAATTTGGCACCAAATATTTGTTTTACCTTTTTTTTTACTTTTTTATTCCAAGTATGAGCAAATTTAATTTTTTTGGTTTTTTTTTATATACATTTTTTTTTGCAAAATGTACAATTGCAGAGATTAAGTAAAAGGATACATTTCCTACATCATTAAAAAATTAGGCCTTGCACAGTTACTAAACATGTGCGCAATAGACTTCTTTGTTTAGTTCTTGAGATAAAAGGTTGAACTCCATTTAAAAAATAATTAGCAAACCAGAAAAATAGTGCGAAGGCATGTTTTGACCTCCCAAAACTTGAGAATTTAAGGGGTTGTATTTTGGGAAAAGATTAAGGGGAGATTATTCAAACTTTGAAAATAAAATAAAAATCTTACAAATTTACTTAAACAAGAAAACATGGTAAATATAACTTACATCATTGACTTGCATTGACTTGTATAAGTATATAACCCCTGACTGATTGAATTTATTGTTAATTTGTTAATTGTATATATATATATATATGGATGAAATATTTGCCACTGGACATTAAGCAAAGACCCAACAATCCATAAAATTTAACATTCTCATCAGTAGAACAGATCATCATGTTGATTAATAAAGGATCTGAATGTCTGTCAGACGATTGTTTGCCCACAATGCTGTGTTGACAAAGACATGAAACAATTTGTAAAGGATCTGTAGTTTGATTTAAACAGTCCCAGAGCAAATCATTTATACATTTGTCATTAAAAATAACATTTTACATGTGTTTCTTGTGGACAGCTCATTGTTAGGACTACGGTTTTACATGGTCAGTTGAAAAAGGTAGACATTCAAACTATTAAG